TATATATATATATATATATATATATATATATATTTTTTTTTTTTTTTTTTCTGAAAATTGAGCCGCTTTAAAGACCTTCAGATTAAGTCACATTTGACCAGCATTCTGCCGTTACCTAGCAACCCCAGTCAAGCCCAGCCCCGTTACCTAGCAACCCAAGCAGAGCTCCAGCATGTTTGGTCAGGTGGTTTTACCTCTGTATACGCTCTGGAAAAGAATAAGGAAGAGAAAGAATAAGGAATGAAAGAAAGAGAAAGGAAAATTCAGGAATGATTGAAAAACTAAGGCAAGAAAGAAAAAGAATAAGGAATGAACGGAAGATTAAGGAATGAAAGAGAGTAAAGAATGAAAGAAAGAAATTAAAGAAGGAGAGTGAAGGATCAAAGAAAGAAAACAAAAGGGAGTAAGGAATAATTCCCTTCATAATGTCTTAGAAAGTCAGTTAAAATTTACTCCCATTTAACACTGCATTCAATATGTGACCTTTAAATAACCTATTTTCTTTCTGTGTTTTGTCCAGACTGTAGATATAGGTTCAGAAACCTTTTTCAACTTTTACAACGTCTACCCTGGGCTCCTCTATATGGCTCAGGTTCGCTGCAAGCTAGACCACGGAAAATGGAGTGAGTGGAGCAACACAATATTTGCTGAAATTCCTAAAAGTAAGTATTAAAAACGCATTTCCTCCTTCTCAGACTGTAAACCCACTGTGGTAACTGAAAGTAAAAATTGCTTTTTTTAAATATCTTTTTTCTATTTAGATCATCAGGTTGAGAAATACTTTTGGATTTTTGTTTTTGTTTTCTCCTTGATTCCTTTGTTGATGGGTATATACATCCTACTGCTGAAGAGGAATGTGTAAGTACCAAATAAGATTTTGGGTTTTATATATCACGACATGCTGTAGCAAAACATTAGCGAAAAAATCTTTGCTACCCCACATGCAAAAATAAAACAAAACAAACATTATTGTTTATCAAAGATGAAGATCGAATAGGAAAGCTACCGCCAAAAAGATTTTATTGACCCTTTGCAACTACGTCACTTAATCAATCAAGGCACCATGATGGACGCCGGAAGTTAGGGACGGGAATATTGAACAGAGCAGCTGAAATTATTTTCCAAAGTCATTTTTGGCAGTTTATTCATGGCGTCTCCTTGTTCGAGTCAAGCTTATTTGTCTGTGAACGTAACACACCTGGTTGGGGCTCAAAGATGGCAATATTTACAGAAGTTTGAACTAGCTAGCTTAGAGTCCGACCGTACCTCCTCCCTCCTGACGTGTCGATCAAATTACGGACTTTGCCTGAATTCACACCACATGATTTATATCACTGTCATTGTGGCATTATCTCCATGGTTACTAACGGTTAGACGCGTACCTTTTCCATAATAAAATGTCTGATATCTTTCTAATCATACTTATGAAGTACATGAACGTTAGTCGTCTTACCTTTTAAAAAGTGTTTGCTGCAAATCCGAGGGCTGACAGTCATTTTTATTGACAGCCGATTTTTAAAGTGATATCAACTAAACAGAAGCCATATTAGGTTACAGATGTCTGTTTTTAGACTAGCTTTAAAGGAGCGCATTGGTGGTTTTTACCTCAGTCATGAGGAGCTCTGGAGAGCGTGACGTCACGTGCAAAGGGTCAATAGTATTATTAACCTGATATAATAAAAGTGTAGTTTTCTTCACATTGTTTTGGTTCAGTTTTCTGAATATTCCCACAGCTTATCAATCAAGATTGAGTTCTGGGATTTCACTGGACCATTTACAAAACAGCCATTTTTTGTTGTTTTGTTGATGAGAGCCTTAAATCTGACAAAACTTTGATAGAAGAGATAAAGACTGCAAGGTGCCAAAGTCGTAGTTTTCAATCAGAGTTTCGTTTGTTTATTAGTTTCATTCATTTGTTTCTTTCTTTGTTTCTTTGTTTACTCTTTATTTTTCTCTTTCCTCTTTTTCATTCTTTATTTCTTTCATTCTTTGTTCTGTCTTTCTTTTATTACTCTATTTCATTTTTGTTTTAGTTTTTTTTCATTCTTTCTTCTTTCCTCTTTTTCCATACATGCTACTAACGGATAGACGCATACCTTCCCTCCTTCTGTCCATCCCTCTCTCCATCTCTCTTTCTCCATCATTCCTTTGTTTCTTTCTTTACTCTGTTCTTTTATTTTTTGTTCTTTTCTTTCTTTCTCTGTTCTTTCTCTTTCACCCTTCCTTCTTTCCTCACTCCCTTTCTTTTTCTTTCCTTACTCTTTGTTACTTTCTCTATTCTTTCTTGCTTTCTTTCATTTCTTACTCTCCTCTCTTTTCCTCTCTTCCTTAATTCTTTTCCTACTCTCTTTTTTTACTCCCTTTATTCATTTATCTCTTTATTGAGGAAATCACAGTTACTTACAGTTAGTAACTAAATTTGAGACCATTTGTTTTTAAAACAGTTTTTCCATTTGGGTTCATCTTTGTTAAATAAATAATAACGGCATTAAACTCTTGTGCTTTTTAATGTAATTTTGTTAAATATTGTTTTTGTTGTAACTCAGTGTGAAGCAGTGTCTCCTCCCTCCTGTTCCTGGTCCGAAGATAAAAGGACTCAATGCTCATCTTCTCAAGGTAACACTTAGCTTTTTTTTGTTGTTTCTTAATAAACATAAACATAAACAAATTTAAAAACTCCCTCTGCCTTTTTAACAATGTCCTACTTTAACTTTTCCAGAGTGGTCGATCAGAAGACGTGGTAAATGCTCTGATGGGGAACCAGAACTTTCCTCCTGTGGCGGCCTGGACGGAGCAGGTGGAGGACTTCCTGCTGGTGTCAGACAGCGACGAATGGCTGCTGACTGATTCCTTTGCATCCGAAAAAAAGAAAGATATCTTCATCATTCCTGCCGGTTTACACTTAGGATTAGAAATCCAATGCAGGGACTTGTCCGTGGATCTGAACACCTGGGAAAAAACCGATGACAGCAAAGAGGAAGCAAAGAGCAACTTTTTAAACACGGAGCCAATAAATCTGCCAGTTGAGAAACATGAATTTCTGAATGGAGAGGAAATGTCCATCCAGCCCCTCGCAAACACCAGCTATGTGGACATCCAGCAGCATCCGACGCTGACTGACTACAGCAGGGTGAAAGAGGTGAATGACAACACCATCCTCATCCTCAATGAAGAAGAAATTCCTCACGGTTTGGACGCTGAGGAGGTGAAAAGCGAAGTGAGCGTGCCAGATGACTACAGCAGGGTCAAAGAGGTGAACAGCGACGTGGTTTTCTTGGAGAAAGGCGACTCCACTGACGGATGTTGTAAGAAAAAAGAAGACCACTACACCGACTGGACCAATCAGAAGCCGATAATGCCTCTCGAAAGCGAGCTCAGCAAAGGGTTTTGCTTGAAAATGATCGCAAGCGGATACGTAGATTCTGGTCCCGCCTTTTCCGTTAAGTAAACTTTTGATCGTAATGAGGTGCAGGACACTGATGATGCGATTATTTCTGCTATCAGCGACAAATGAGACGTTATTGAATTGGCTGGGATGCAGCAGCTTCTATCCAGAGAGGAATTTATTTATCTATTGTAATCTGATAGGAAAAAATAATTGTTTTGACCAACGTCCGGCATTTTAAGTTTCAGCAGCTCAGCGCTGTTGAAAGGATTTAAAGACTGAGAAGTTTTGTGGATCTGGTAGAGTGACACTGGGATATTATCACTGAGTAACCAAAAGAGGAGCGTTGGGTCAAAATGACCCACCTGACAACTAAAAATCCTCTGCTGGTCCTGAAAGTAGCTTTTTGGAACTTAATGTTTAATACAGCAGCAACTAAAAGGTTCAAATCAAAGTGGAGAGACTGAAAAAGAGGTTTAAATGGACTCCTTACCTCTCTTCAAACACTTACAGAAATGTCAGACTGCAAGAACACCTGTCAATCTAAAAGTTTGATTCATATTTGCTTTAAATAAGAAGATAAATCTTTAGCACCTCAGCATAAAGGAGTTGCAATTGGTGAACTTATTAAATGTTTTCCATTGTTTTAGTCTGCGTGTGGTAAGTCCTAGCAGGTCTGGTTTATCTGAGAAGTGTGCACTTGATAAACCTGTCTGCCCGGTTTTTGTTTTTGGACTCATTACACTCTACATCAGAGTATCAACAGCACTATCTTGCTTATTGTGGTGACAAAATGTGAGAAACCAGCACGCTCAGCTCTTCTTCTTTCCACTGGATGAGACTTTAATTTCAGTCAAATCAAATAAAAACTGGTTATTCTCACACTTCTGCTGTCTGATTCAGAAAAGAGTTTATTTTTGCTATTAATTTAAAGTGAATTTGACCTAAGTAAGTTCTGGTTTGTCACTTATTGTCCGACTCCTGTAAAATACTTGAGATTAAAAAGAAGAATAGGAATCAATCGGTCCATGACCAGTGGGTGGAGGTCAACAGGTCCATGAATGCCAGATATGTTCTTATCAGCGATACTCTGCAGCTTTGGCATATCCTGAGCTGAGTCAAGTTTATTTATACAGCACAATTCAGCAACAAGGCACTTCAAAGTGCCATAAAAACACCATGAACACGCAATAAACATTACATTTTGTTAAGTACCATCATCAATAAACCACACATCAAACATATTGATCATTGTTCCAGTTATTATTAATAAAAGCAGCTCTAATCAGGATATTGATTTAAAGGAACTCAGTGTTTCAGCTGTTTTGCAGTTTTCTGGAGCTTTATTCCAGATGTGTGGTGGATAGAAGCTGAATGTTGCTTCTCCGTGTTCGGATCTGGTTCTGGTTCTGGTCAGACAATATTGTTCCTATTTTAGGCCAGTTATAATGATCGATACCGAATATCAAACGAGTCTCAGTCTTGGACTGTGAGCTGTGATTGGACTGTGCGCAAAACTTTCTCAATATTCTGCTAATGCAACAAACGCAATTAAAATCGCGCCTGAATAAATTTGTTCTCGCGATGAGTTAAGAGAGCCTCATACGGCGGCACTGACCCGTTTCCACATTGAAATGGAATCGCACATGCTCAAAGCTGCCGGCGAACCGCTGTGGATTACAGCAAATATAGTTTTTCTTGTTGCCCAATGTTTGTACTTTTGTTTTAAATGAAACTGTTGCACCAAAAAAAAAACATTTTATTTACACAACCTTAATGTTCTGTTAAATTATACATAAGGTGGAGAAAATAAAAAATGAGGAACACTGTCGATCTGTTTCTTCTGATTTTTACATGGTTCAGGACTCGGTGTCGGCCGGACTCGGTTAGGCAAAAAAGACCTGATCAGTACATCTTTATTTTAATGCACAATTATTAAGGTATGGTCTCATTATGTCCTGAATTAAACACAGAGAAGTGAAGACATCAGAGTGCTGTACAAACATGTTGATGGAATGTTAAGTGGAAGGAAAAACTGTAAAAAAAAAGAAGTAAAAGGAGAGGAACAAAGCTTACTCAAGCTGCAGTCATTGCTGAAATATCTTCATTTCACTTGATTCAAACGCCATGTTTATGATCTCAACTGGCCAGCAAAGTCTGTAGAGATTCTATGAAATATTGACAAGAAGAAACCAGACTCCACAGCAGGAGAGGTAAATGCTGCTATTAACTCTTTCATGCATAGTGGTCACTACAGTGGACAGCTGTCTAAAAGCCATTTTCTTGTCCTTCTTGTGGATTTTTATGTTATAAATGCACACAGACCACTGAAGTGGACACTAATACATCATAAAATACACTATCAACTACTGGCCATCAGCTGCAAATGCAAGAAATTATTTTTGTTAAATCCAATATGGCCGACAGACAAAAAAGCATGCCAACCGACCCGGTCCCTCCTTCTACTGTAGACGACTCTTGCAGGTAAAAAACATATTTTGACATCAGATAACCCCTAAAGAACAACACTACCGACGTATTTTTCAAATAACAACTTTGTATTTGGAGAAAATTACAACTGATCACCTAAAAAAATAAAAAAATTGGAAAAAAAATCCTGACACAAAGGATCACAATTCATGCATGAAAGGGTTAAAGCAGCTTCACCTTGACTGATTGCCTTTACGTTATGCTCCATTTATGCAGTAATTCATGTAAAAGCAGCTCAGACCAGGTATTGAGTTTACTGCTCAATACTTTTTATGTTGTTGTTATTATATGTAAAATTCAATACTAGAAATTTGAATTTCCAGAAACAAACCAAAAATAATAAATGGCAACTTTTTGACAACTGGATCAAAAATGAAGTCTGGAAATACTTCTCAATGTTTTACTTTCTTATTTCACACGTCTACAGTTTTCTTTCCTCTTGGAAAATGATCTTCTTCAGAAAAAACAAACCAAGAATATTAAATAATAGTTTTATGCACACATTTTTATTCAGGACTCTGATATGTCTGCAAATAATTAGAGAATTTTAAGCTGTATATTCAGTAAAGAAAAAAATAATAATCTGACTTTAGTTTTCAGCTCTGAAAGCTCAGAAAAAAATCAAAACAGTTTCATCTCGTCTCGTATCTCTTGAAAATCTTGCATCAATATTATATCTTAGCAGCATGAATCATATAAAGAGTCTGAGTACCACAGACTTATTCAGCTCCATTAGACTGTAAAAAGGCAATCTTCACATGAAAAAACAAAACATTCATTGCCAGTGGAAGAAATAATACTAAACTTATACAGCATACTGTTTCACACCTAAAAGAACATTTTAATGTGTGAAATTACAAAAAAAATAATAAAACACTGAGAAAAAAAATAATTATGGTGGCAATTTGGGCACAACTCAATTTAAAAATAAAATTTTAGCTAAACTGGTCAAAGATCGTCACATCACAGTGACAATCTCGGTAGGCAAAACAGATATAAATCGCAACTTTTTGTAATGTTAGCCGTATTTTGTTTAGACCTACAGAAAATAGTTACTGTCCCTTTAAGCAGGTCTCCCAGTTCCCCCTGAATTGACTCGTCAGTGGGCCGCGGGTTTGTAAACTAAATGAAAAGCTGTTGCTTTACTTTTTCTGAAGTCTGATGCTTAATCAATCGACCCAGTTTTATTGGTTAAAGAAATGAAATAATTAACCGATAAAAGCCAACTTCTCATAAACAGGTAATTTTATGTAAAACTACAAAGCGATTATTTTCCCCTCTCAGTTCAAAATGGCGTCGCAGTTCGGTGTTCTGTTACATAGAGCATGCTCCCTATCATAATGTATTAAAGTACAGGGCAGGCTGGGAGACATGGCTTAATAAAATATATTACTTTTATATCACATCCGATTTCTTTAATTTAAAGGAAATTACATGTGACGAACTATTCTCAAAAAGTAGCTTTTATTTTATTAATCCCGTCTGTGGTATGAATCGTATTAGTGCCAGCCTACGAGGATTTTTGTCTAATTACGAGAATATAGTCATATTATTAGCAGAATAAAGATACGACTTTACCAGAAGAACTTAATAAAATTACGAGAAAATTTGTTTTGACAAAGAAGCTTTTATGACCAGTTCAGTTCGAGTTCCCATAAAATTACTCTATTACAAATTTATTCTAGTAATATTATGACTATATTCTTGTAGTATTATGACTTATGCTAATGAAAAAGTAAAAAAAAATTCTTAGTCTGCCGTCATAGAGTTAATTCAAAGTCTAAATAAATATAAGTTGTTAAAAACGCTTGTCAAACAAGATGGCCGCCCTGGGCGTGCTGACGTCACTCTGACCTGTGGAATCACATTGGTGAAAAGATTTTTGATTTTCCGAAAATTAAACCTTTGAAAACCAAAAACTCAATCAATCAATAAAATAGATTCACCGCTCAGGCCTTACAGTACTTTAAAGGTTGGTAAAAAAAAAAAAAAAAAAAAGATGATTGTAAACGGAGCAGTGCCTTTTAATGATTTAACGTTTCTGATGTGCAGTTTGCTGTTTTTCTCTGACTCAGACCTCACAGGAACTAATTTCAAAAAGTAATTACCTTTTTTCTGTTATTTAGAAATAATTCCTACAGAAAATTGGTTATGATCTTTTTTGTCAAACTATTATGTTAGTTCAAAGGAAGTTTATAGAGTCAAGTCTCTCTTAGGGGTATCATTATTGTCAAAATATTGCATAATGAAACTTCGCAATAATTCTATGTGCGACATAAGAAGACAATCAGCTGGCAATGTTATTTAAACTTTAATTTAAACAAAAATTACCTCTATTAATTTGAAAACACAAAAATATGAAATTTTACAGAATGTTGTCGGTACATCACCCTAAGTAAATCTTAAAATAGATTTGTGAACATATAAAAAATATCTAACATTTTGGAAAATTATACAATCATCATATATTGGCACCCCTAAAAAAAGTCTTGTAAATAATTATATCTTTAGTTTAAGTAGTATAATCTTACGCTGGAAGGAATAATTAAAAATTCAACCTACACTTTAGTTATTGAGGAAAATATCCAACATTAAAAATTTTTACTTTTTAGTTAAACAAGTGCAACTGAAACATTTTCCTCATTTTAAATTGGTTTCAGAGTTTTGTAACTTTCATTTAATAATCAAGACTTCCTGTTTACCTGAGGTACAAATGCCATGAAGCAGAGGTACATATCTTATACCATCCTGTCAAAATAGGAAACATAAGCAAACATATGTGATCCAGAAATTTGCTACCCGCCTACAGTAGCTAATGTGCAGTCAGAGCAATAATTAAAAACAACTGAAACTGTGATGAACAATAATCCTGAATGCACCTCAAAGATGTGACCACAGGTAAGATCTGGAGTAATGGACGTCATTTTCTAATCTAAACAACTACCAACAAAGCTATTCTTAGGCCAAAGAGTTATTTGGAATGAGAAGTGAGACAAACAATCCAGTTGGAAAGAACGATAAATGAAAAGCAACTCATGCCCATTGTTAGGTACGGTAGAGAAATGGTGATGATGTGGGCCTCTTTCTCTTCTTAATGCTCTGGCAACTTAAACTCTCTGACAAAGCAGGGGATTTTAATCAAAAATAAGGCGGCCTCAAACATTAGACCGCAAAAATATGATCATCAAAAGGCGAAGGTGCTAGTTTTTAAAGTAACTGCACTGAAAAAAAACCCCGGTTGATCCAACTTAAAAAAAATTTGTTCATTTGTTACAAGTAAGTTTATCTAACTAAATATCTTAAGTTATGTTAAACGTAAATAAAGTAACTTTGGCAAACTTAATCTGATTATGTACAACAAATTAACCTTTTTTTTTTTTTAGTTGGAGCTCCGTTCTTTTTTTTCCAGTGTGTGAATTTAACCCCAAAGTTTCCTGCTGCTTCCAAGTTCTGATTTAAATTTCAAAACTCTGTGAGAACATGTGCTTATGTTACAGAGCAGTTCTATCAAAACGTGAAGCGTTCACAGTCTAAAGCTGTGGCAAATCAACACACAGAAAAACAACCTGTATGAGGAAAATGAGCATAAAACTCAAAATCTGTTTCTTCTTTCCTTCCAGTATGAAAATATGCCATATTTAAGTATCTTACGATCTTCTTTTCTAAATATTACATTTTTAAATCTGCTGGTCTTTATCACATCTTGTTTTATCCTATGTCCTTCCTTCCAATAAAACAGTTTTAGTCACTTGTAATTAATAAACATGTTTTTAACTAATTAACACTTTACCGACCTTTAAAAAGCAGCTACATTTATATTTCACACATGAATGAAAAAGCTGCAGAATGCCCAAAAACTGCTTATTAATGTTGCATAAAGTGTTTCTGCTTAATTAATAACTAGTTTATTAACTATGTTTTTGTCATTTCTTATGAAAGTGGTACTCATTTCAATCCTTAAAATGTTTCCAAAGATCGAATATAGCTATTAAGTCAAAAATAATGGTTCCAAAATATAGTGTTATATGCTCAATACAAGAAAAGAAACATTTTACATATTCAGCAGGAAGGGTCACAGTCAACATGGTTCAGAATTTATATTTTGAGGCTTCTTATCTGGTTCTTTTCCTGAAAGAATTCAAAGAATTCATAATTTACAGGAAATAGAATTAAATGAGAGAAGAAAAAAAAATCAAACCAAAAGTGTTTTTGTGGGTGTGGCAACCCAAATAAATTTCTTTGTCTTGTTTTGTAGCAGGAGAAAGATTTGCTGCAGTCAACTCTTCTCTTCTTCTGCGTTTTCTGTACATTCGCTGTCCAGGAGCTGCTCCATGTGGCTCAGGAAAGCATGGCTGCTTTCTTCCTCCAGAATCTGCTCCCAGAATTTCACTGAGAAGCAAGAGAGGAAAAACGATCACCACAGGTGAAGAAGAATAGTATTACAGTATGGAGTAATTGACTTATTGCTGGAATCAACTGAAAAAGTTTGATTATTTTCAGGTGAATTTACTAAAAAATAAAACCAGAGTAAGAGTAGCACTACTTCAACATATTTTTACTCAAGTAAAAGTAAAAAGTCACTTTCCAATAAATTACTCAAGTAAAAAAAGTATTTGGTATAAAGGCTACTCAAGTACTAAAATTTAATTTAATATTTTAAAATGATGTCAATAGAAAAAAATGTGAAGATATGTGCAAATTCTGGCTTTTTAAAGGCTAAATTAAATACTACAAATAAATAATACACACAAGCAAAATAAACACGTTTTCAAACTTTTTTTTTCCAACATTAAAAAACTTTACATAAAATTAATACTTGCAGTAAGTAATCTGTATAGGGTAATGTACCTCTAATGATGATAAGTATTATTACCGTACTTTCTGGACTATACAACTGCACCTACAAAGTTTTTTTTAAAAACTGGAAACGTACATATATAAGCCGCACCAGGCTATAAGCCGCTGGTATCTCTGCTGCTCTCGGTTTTCCACAAGGACGCGGCAGTTCTTAATAGCAGATTTATTAAGGACGCAGCCCTGCGTCTCCAACGCCGAACCATGGATTCGTTCACGCAGAGTTTACGTGCAGCAGCTCCCAGAATTTATCACATCTTGTTTTATCCTAAGTCCTTCCTTCTGTACTGCCAGATCGATAGCCTTCAAATTAAAAGCTGCATCATATGAACTTCTTTGTGCTTTGTGCTAGCATGTGCTTGTTCTCTATGGTTCTAAATACAAATTAGCACTTTCTTCTTTGATTTCCAATTTTGACTTCCAATGATTCACTTCCTGCTAAAGAGCCCCCTGGTGGTTGAAGAAAAATCCACAGAAAAGCCGCACCGGGCTGCATGGTTCAAAGCGTGGGGAAAAAAGTAGTGGTTTATAGTCCAAAAAATACGGTAATCTCCAAATGGCCCAACAGGCTCAGCAGATAGGAAAAAAAAAGAACAACAAAGCTGGTGTATGAACAAGAGGTCTCACTCTAACATAAACTGTAAGTCTGAGTCTATGTTTCAATTTTTTTCTGTTTGAAATGTTTCTTCTTTCTTCATTGAAGTTACTTGTGCTGGATACACTATTCAGAAATTTTACTCAAGTAAGAGTAGCAATTGTTCATAGTAATATTACTAATGTAAAAGTAAAAAGTACAATGCAGTAAAACTACTCTTAAAAGTACATATTTTCCAAAAGGCTATTCAAGTAAATGTGGGTAGTTACACCTCTGGTTTTATCTTATTGATCAGTTAATGAAAAAGATGGGTTCCCTCTCATTGTTGTGCTGTAAATAAAACGCTGTGACTTACAGTAATGTGGTTTCTCGGACCATTTGCTGTCGGGTCCAGGCTCGGACTCCTCAGCCAGACTGTTAATCTGCAGTGGCTCTGTGTTTCCATGCAGCTCTGTTTCAGGCTGGTCGCTGCGCTCCGAGCTCGACAGCATCACCTCGTAGGCCCTCCGGGCCTCAGATGACAACTCAATCATCTTGTGATAGAAATCCTGTAGGTATCAAAGCGAATTTTCACATTTTAAAACGTTAGTTACCCTTTGCAGCTACTAGATATTCATCATCTTACTGTAAAAATCTTACAGATGTGGATAAAAGCATAAAAAATCTTTCAATTAGTCAGTTATTTTTTTTAAATGGCCACCATTTTTGACATTTTTAAATCAATTATTGCTATGAAATGAGACATGGATTAACTTTCTATCACATAATATGTTTTTAACTATATGGTCATCCTTCTTACACAAGTTTAAAGTAGCAATATGTAGCAAAATGAGATGCTGGTTAGCATTAGCTTCCATTAACATTTTTAATGTGTTTAGCAGTTTAGCGTTAGCAAAACTTATTTTTAATGTGTTTAGTGGTTTAGCATTAGCTTCTGCTAATTTGTAAATATGTTTAGTGGTTTAGCGTTAGCTAAGCTAGGATTCTTGTTTAGGAGACTACTGATTAGTGAATCTAAATTTGTGGTTAGCGGTGGCTATGACTACTCCCGATTTTAGTGCAAACATGCAGCTCTAGAAAAATTAAGAGTCCACTGCACTGAACCAAATTGAAAACCTCATGGTTGGTTCCACCAAATATTGATTTCTGAACTCTTTCTGATTTTTGTGGTGGCCATCTTGAAAAATCAAAATGTTATCAGTACATATGATTTCTATTCATCCAATCATCTATGATTTGACACCAAAGCTATTCATCTGTGATAAAAATCATTCTTCCTTGATGTCCATCTTGGTGGCCATCTTGTATTTTTTTTCATAAGGGCAAGCCCCTGGGAACTTCTGCACTAAGTTAGGTTCTAGTGTCCACATATGGAAGATTTTGCTGCCCTATATCTGAGAATGATAATCCTGACCTGCGCTCCATCGTAGTTGAAGATGCCCACAAGGCTGACGGGCACAGCCTTGTTGACACAGTGGCCCAGTGCTTTCCTGGAAAGTGCAAACACGAACGGTACGCCCTGTTCGCGACACATGTTGATGATCGTGTGCAGAACCTCGTCCAGGCCACCTGTGGAGGGAATATTTTCTATCAACATGCAGCTTTTCCCCGTCCAGTTTGAGCAGCCGCACGCCTGTGTGGACCTCCCCGTCACTGATGTTGCTATTGTACACATTTTTGACGCAGAGTCTTTTATTTCCATCTGAGATGAAAACAAAGTTTTTCTTAGATTTGTTTCAGGATCTAAATGTGGTTCCTCATCAGAGCGAAAATGTCACAAAATACTTTCAAGTTTCTGTTTTTGGTGTCCTAAAATAGCTATTTAAAAACATTTAAAAAGGATATCTGAAAGTGTTTATATGCAGCTCCCCTCACATTAATATGCATTATTTTAGTTATTCTTCAAAATGGAAAATACAGGAGAACATGCAATTAAACAATAGTGGAGTACCAATAAAAGAAAAAATACACACAAAAAAAATCACAAGAATAAAGTCAAAGTTGAAATAATCCAAGAATAAAGTCATAATAATACGAGAATAAAATGTCATTCTTGTATTATTTCAACTTTATTCATATCTTTACTGTTATAACTTTATTCTTGTAATTTAATTTTTTTTCTTATTGTGGCCCTTATACTCTGTCGTAATTAAATATAGATGATCATTCAGAAAATCTGTAGAAAAAAAAGATTAATAAGCTAAACAACTACAATCAGAGCAACAATTAAAAATGTGGCCATCATCTTGGAGGAGAACTCATATTTATCTTTCCAGTTTGCACATTAAGAGGTAAAAGAAAAAACTCCTACACTCACTGCAGCAGTCATAACAACCAATGGATCTATCTAACGCTGTCTGGAAAATCTTTTTTTTTCCTGCCCTCACTAATGTAAACATTTTCTGGGACTTTCCCTGGAACAATGCGCTTGGTCAGATGAGACTCGGACTCAACGCATGACAACAAACAACCCATGTGGGTTTGGCATAAAATAAAAATATAATATAAGAAAAAGGTGCTTGCTGCATAGTGAACGATCTGTGATGCTGTGGGCTTGTTTTTTTCTTTTACAGACCATGAGAACTGTGTTAGAGTTCATGACATGATAAACCAGAGAATGTTAGGCTACGTTCACACAGCAGGTAAATGCAACGCCGCCTGAACGGCCCAATCCCCATCTGATAAAAAAAATTAAAAATCCAATCTGTGCCACTTCAATATGAAGCCTCACTATTACTAGCATGAGCAACTAGGCTGTCACAATTAAAAAAAAAGTCATTATTGCAATAAATGATAATGTTTTGATATGATTTTAAAGTAATATAATAATAATAACAATGACATAATAATGCAAGTTTTCTCTCTCCTCAAAGACCAATAAACTTTTATTTTGCAAAGACAACTTAATGCTGGAACTGAAAGATATTTTAATGATCCAAAATAAAATGCAACTACTAAGAAATAATAAATAGAACTAAAAACCACACTCATCTGAAAACATAAACAAAATGGAAAAATTGATTATGATCTCCTTGTAAGCATATTAATCATCAGAATGGAAATTATTGAGATAATTTTAATTTATCATGAGATTAATTTTATTATATAATAATAATTATTTTATTTGTTGTTTTGTTTATTTACTTTGGATATTTAAAATGTCTTCCAGTTCCAGTGTTAAATGTTTATTATAATTTAAAGTTTACTGATCTGTGAGAATGCGTTTTGTCTCAACGCAGCAATATTATCGTTTATCGCAAAAACTTCTGGGACAATTTATTGTCCAGCTAAATTTGACGTCGTGACTTGCTTAATAATTCCCCAGACTTTTTCCTAAATAATCTACAGCCGGCGCTTTCGAATACCTTTGGACTGGATGCGTTCGCAGTTGGGTGAGATGATGACACACTTGACCTTCTTCAGTTTGAGGTGTTTCAGAACCTCTCGAAGGCCCATCACGATCCGCCGCTTCATGCGGGCCTTCATGGGATCCTTCTGGTACAGCCGGTCCTGGAACCGGACCAGCTCCTTCAGCAGCGACGTCACGCACTCATCCAGGTCTTTCCTCAGCATCTGGCTGCAGTAGCTGCCATGCAAACAACAGGAAATCATTACACAGAAGTCTCTGGATATTAGCAAAGTGTGGCTTAAATATCAATACTTCCAATACCAGTCCTATTGTGCTTCAAAATCGATTCTCTCTAAGTATCAATACTTTCATTATTTCAGTCACTTGAGATTGTTAAAATAGCCTGGCAATAATAAAAAAGATCGTCACCCTAATGTACTTCAGACTTCAAAATAAATCAGTTAAAATGATGTCTTGTGTTCTTATGCAGCAAAGAATTGAATTACTCCACTTTTTTTAGATTTACCAGACACACTATGTGTTTTTGCAACAAGTATTGGCATCGGACAGGAAACCGGTGGCATCAGACATCACAAGTCGATACGAAGGGAACAACGTTGCCTCCTTACTCTCTAAACTTCCTGCTGTGAATTTTGGGAACGTTGTTTTGTTGGGGCTCAGATGACGGGGCTTCCTGTTGCACATCATCGTTTTTGTCGTTGTCCTCATCGGCTTCCTCCATGTTGGCGTTTATACCGTTTAAATTCAGCTGTTCGTCGAATCCTTGTGTAAGACTCTGAATGTCTTCTGAAAGAGACAAACAGAATAAATTCAGTCATTCTGAACTCTTTCTATAGTGAGAACATGTTCGCTCTGACCTGTATCGTTTAAGTCATGCTGCTCCTCTGCAGCATCAATAGTGAGTTCAGAGCCATTTTCAGGCAGCACTCCTCTCTCCTCTAGCAGACGTCTCTGTTTTTTCTCTTCTCTTTCTTTCAAAATGACCTGAATATGTAACAGAATAAAAGGGAAAAAAATTGCATCATATTTTAGAACTAAAAAGCTAAAAATGCTCAAAAGTATGAAACAAATTATAAACAGTTTGCTTTTCTGAACTCCTCAAGTGGCATACTTTTAGCTTTAGTTCAAAATACTTATAAAAAAAATCTATCAAGCATGTTTTGCTCTCCAGTTATTAATCGGTTAATCAAAAAAAAAAACAAAAAAAAACGATTAGCCCTCAATGTACTGATATTAAGTCAAGCAGGAAGGTCTGAGCTTTTCACATGTTGATGTTACAAGTATTTTTAGCTGCAGATTCATCCTTTGGTACAAATGATCAAGCGTTCACTCAAGAAATTATATGTTATTGAGTTTTTGGTAATAGATTTATAAAAAAAACTGAACTGAATTAATTGTTCATTTGGATATTTCAATGCATTTCTGCAGATATGCTAATATTTTTTATCCGTTTAATCGACAGAATAATCAACGACTAAAATAATTGTTAGCTGCAGCTTTATGAACTCAAACTTTCTACCAACACTTTGGCCAAACGTTTTGCACTAATGCAGGGGTCCCCAAACTTTTTCCTGCGAGGGCCACATAGCTGTTCCTTTTTCTGGTCGGGGGCCGGTCTTAGTTTTTGGAGAAAGAAACCTTAGAAAATTCTTGTCGAGCGGGGGGGGGGCGAAGACGAGGAGACAGTCGCGCTTTTAGATAGATTTTTACCCAGAATGCAAATGGAAAAAACCGTGAGTGAAACGGTGACTGGGACTGACTGGTATATATTCCATTGAGGGAAAGTTAGTTTCACATCTGTTTAAGAGCCCCCTGGTGGTTGAAGAAAAATCCACATATAAACCAGAAAATACAATAAATGACAAAAAACACTGAATGCACTCTGGTATGAGGAGGCGGGCCAGATCCGGCATTGTTCAGGGGGCCGGACCAAATGACGTGGCGGGCCGGATCCGGCCCGCGGGCCGTAGTTTGGGGACCCCTGCACTAATGGCTGAGTTTGTCGCTCCGCATGTAGCATCATCACTCTTTATCATCAACACTCTTTAGTGTTCTGCTTGCTCTTTCTTTTCACATTTAAGCATTTAAATACGTATATCAGTCAGGATATTCTAAACGGTGCTGAAAACGAGAAGTTGTAAAAATGATGATATATGAACTTCAATATAACAATGCAACTACTATAATGATCAACAGTGAGTGTATGACAGATGCTGTCCACTTGCCTTCTTCAGAGGAGTGGGTTTCTTGGCTTTAGGCACTTCTCTTTGCTTTCCTTTCTTAACTAAAGGGCTGGTCGAGTCCAACGGATTGTGTGCGATTTTATCCTGCTGCCATGGCGGCTTCTTCAGAGACAACGATTGTTTCTGGACGACAGGCAGTCCTCCACCAACTACAATGAAGCAGACATCGCTTAATTATGCTCTTAACCGATTTTTAAAGAAATAAAAACCGACATTAGCTGACCAGAGAGAATAATCGGCTTGGTGTCCTGCTTTGATTTTTGAGTTTGTTGCTTCTTTTCCAGGACGGCCAGCATGTTTCCGATGTCCAGCTGGACCGGGGCTTTGCTCTTTTTCCCCGACACTTTCTCTGCTTTCTACAAATCAGGCGATGAAGGTCAGGGCTACATCACTGAGGCAAAACCAGACTGCTCTGAAAGGGTCAGTTTCAACAAATGATTAACACAAACCTGTCCTTTCTTAGCCATTTCAGGCAGTTGAGTTTTTCCTATTGGTGACTTTTCTTTGTTCAGGCCAGCAGACTGGTACTGTCCTCCTTCTCTTTGGTTTTCCTTGACATCAAATCACAGCATATGACTGTTATTTATGTTATTTTATGTTATGTTGATGCATTTAAAACACTGATGATATCTACCTCATTGCATAGCTTTGTTTTGCTGTTTAACCCAGTTAAACCCAGCACCAACTCAGGGAATTCTTCTTCATCCTAGGAAAAAAACATGTAAATTAAGTTAAATGTCCAAATCTTTATTCACTCAGAGGAAGCAAAAATCAAAATTTACCTCAAGTTTTGGAGGCTCGTGATGAATTAGTGGACTCCCTGACTCGGCTTCTGCATCCTCAGCGTTGCTTTTGGATTTCTTTTTCCTCTTTCGCTTTTTCTTTCCTGGGCCTCCCTCTTCTTGTTGGGTAGAGAGGCAGTTTGCCTGGTAATATAAACAAAATTAACTTTAGAAAAAAAAAACATTGTAAAAAAAGATTTTTTTTTTTTTTTTTTTTTTTACAAAAACAAACAAATAAACCAAAGCAAAAAACAGGCTAATAGTTTAGGAACAAAGCCCAAAAAGAATAGAGCCAGAATATTCATGTTAGTAAATGCAAACACATGTAAAATATATGCAAACATGTATGCAAACTTCCATTTCACAAGGTGCAAGTAATTTTCTTTAAAACCAGTTTAACTGCCTGTTTTTTTCAGCTTTCTTAGCTTCATGGTTCTGTAGATATCAGGGATGCACAGATCTACTTTTGTCACTCCCAATACCAACAGATAAGAGGTTTAGTATCGGTCAATACTGATCCAAAACAGAAAAACAGTCCTGATTAGACCTAAAACTTCTCTTTTTTAATAAAACATAAATGTACTGAATGACAAGTTCATTTGATAACTCTGCACCAGTACTGCACATTTAAATAAAACCAATAGTTTCACAAGTTTGGTCAAACATGTTGAAATAAACTGCAACAAACTTTCTTTAAATGGTTCAGAAAGTGCAATTAGTAATTCTAAATATAATGTAAAATAAATAAAAAAGCATGACGTTGCACAGACCAGTATACAGAATTAGACTGAACAGATCTGCATTTATAGACTGGGTACATTGTCACCGATACCCGATATTGATTTTTATTTCAATATCAGGACCAATACAGATATTAACTCTTTACTTTATGTCAAATATTTGCAGCGTTTCTCAATATTACAGGGGTTAATCTTTTTTAAATTGTTGCCCAAATGTAAATTATTGAACTCATTATAATTAATTATGCAGGTAATAAATTTATTGCTTATTGCAACCGGCTTAGAGTCAAAATGAAGTTTAATCACGGCGGTGGCATCATGCTGGGGGCCTGTTTCGTTGCTGGTCCATTGCAGAAAGTGGATGAAAGACTGAAGAAAGAGAATTACCTTCAAAATCTTTATTTCACTTCATATCAATGACTTTATGGACAAATAAAGCTACTAAATTTTCAAAAATAATCCAAACTGGTGAGCAGTGTCCTCCCAGTCGCTTTTTTATACTCAGAACCATCAGAGAGTTTTGTTGCTGATCCAGCCCAGAAAACCGAGGCGAGGTTCTGGCTGATCAGCTTCCAGCTCAACTCGACTCTCGGTGAGTCCATTTAAATTTCTTCCTTATGCCTCATGAGGAAAAGAGAAGAATAAAGACTGAAACCCTTTTTTATTAAAAATTAAACCAGAAAAAACAGACTGCACCTGTGTGTTGCTGCGATTGATTGTCTCGTCTGTAACAACAGGTTTCTTTGGGGGCTGAGAGGCAATATTTGCCCAGGATGTTATTACCGGCCTAGCTACTAGGAAAGAAAGAAAAACAAGTGATTCACAAGTTAGAAAAGACTGACGCCGTGGTTCAGGAGATGATTTCAGCCTTTACCTGGTGGGTTAGCAGGGGTGGTATTCTGCAAGGGCTCAAGTTCTGCTGGAGAGCTATTTCTTCCAGCCTGACAAATAATAAGAATAATAATTTTAAAAAAAAACAGCTACACGATCTAAGCTGACTTTTCTTTTAAATACAGAAACCAACCTTCTGGGAAGTCGTCTGAGTTCGTGGGTTTGTGCATTGAGGGCTTGGACGCCAGCAGTCTTTCTGAGCTCCAGCATGAGAAGCTGATTTCTGCAAAACGCCGGCTAACTCCGGAAAATCAGCCATCTTCACTTCAAACGGCGCAAAATCTGCCATTGCTGGCGTTGATTTCCTTCCAGAGGCTGGGGCTGACCTGACATGTCTAAAACCTGCTGAAGCTCCAAAGGGACAGACAACAGCACAATAAATAAATGGCTAAATAAAGCTTTATAATTATTCATATGCATAAATAATATATATGAGACATATGTTAAATAACTAAATGTACAAATCATTAATTAAAAATCTGAATTCAATTTATATTAACATCATGCATTAATACTGAAGTATTTAAATATTTCATAGACTTATGTTGCTGCACAAGGAGAATTTTATTCCATCTCCAAGCCTTGAACGTCATTGGGTCGGGTCAAGACAAAAAACTATTGGTCTGTAGTTAAACTGCAGATTAATTATTATTATTCAATGTTAAATGACAAAAACAAAGTATTAAAAGAAGGTTTTTTCATTTAAAACCTTTGATGTATTAAATGAAGGTTTTCTAGACCGTCTAATTCACAAGCCCAGCCCTTTAGTTGGATATTTTGATAAAAAACAGCAAAATTAGAATTAAAGATTCCCGTCACACACACACACACACAATAATCATCAGGGTCTTTTTGGTGAATCAGCCTGAAAGCCTCAATTATTTCATGATGGACTGTGGCAATGGAAACATTAACTTGATAAATACTGAAGTAGTTTGACAAAATTAATGAAAATTTTAGTTAATAATTGAATTATTTGTATTCTTCTTCTGGCTGCTCATCACAGCGAGTCATCCTCTTCTGTCTAATTATATGCATTCATTCAATTTCAAATTCAAAAATAAATTATTGTAGATGGTGATGGAAAGATCTCATGTAGAGGTCTGTATCGAAGCGACCTTGAAGAAGCCTCTGACTGAAGGTACTCTTAATTATTGACTAATTTAACTATATACCAATAAATGTTTATTCAAATAATGTAAGTATTATATTTTTATATGGAATATTATATATATAAATAGCTTTTGAAGGCATAATTTGGTTATTTATGAAAATCTACATGCGAGTCACTCGAGTTTTGATGGATGATGTTTACCTTTTTGTCGTGCATCCGCTGGGTTTTTGCCCACATTTCTGCCCTGAGAGTCATTGATGCTTTTTGATGTCTGCAAACACACAAACAAAAGGATTTAAATCTATTACATAAATTAAGCCAAAGTAACTTAGCGTGACTTTAATAAGTGTAATAAAAAGAAAACCTTTGAATGTGGATCCCAGAGGAGCTTATTTTTGTCACTGGCTTCCCTCACAGGACGTCTGCTACTGTAGCCATGACTTCTTGAAACATCTCCCCCTTTTCCTGCTTGTTTTTGGCTCAGATCTGCCCAGTTCCTTAAAAAAACATACAGACACAGAAAAAGATATGGTCAGGGGTCCAGTTGCTGATTACTTGGACATAGCCATGATGTCCATACCTGGCTGAAGTTTGGTTGGACATATAAGGATTTGGTAAGACCGGAGGAACTGAAGCTGTGTGAGGATCAGAAGCATCTCTGCTTCTTTTCTTCTGATGTTTTTCAAAATCCTGGGGAGAACAATTACTAGGTGTCAGTTTGCTCTCCTGGAAAACGTAAAGTCATGTCAACAAAAACCTTTGATAAACATGTTACTTATAATTATTTAAATACACTGCAAACCGCATTATAAGGAACACTTCAATTCTGCTTTGACATATCGAAGCTTTAAGAAGTGTTAAAAATACAATATTTGTGCTTCAGACAAAATTACGTCTTCGGAAACAAAATGTTATCTTTCACTTCATCAGCTGCCCCCATTTAAGCACTTTTTAGAAACAACTGTAACTGTAGCAGGACATATTCGCATGAGTTAGCTTCAGTGTTAGCTAAATAGGCAGTTATAATCCAATTTGGTGTTCTTTACCTTCTCCATCTTCAGGCTTTTTTAAGATTTAGTCACATGTTCGTATTTTCACATGCGGTTCCAAGTGTTGTCAAAGTCCATCCTACGATTATGCCATGTGTTTGCTAATCATGAACAACCTGTTTGATAGCTTAGCATAAAAAAACAGCAGCTAGCTGAGTGATGCGTCAGTTGCGGTCGAACCGACTCAATCCGCTAGCTCTTCTAATTGAACTATCTTAATTCATTTGCACTTAAATTGCATATCAACATTTACACATACAACTTAGATTTCAAAACTGTGATCAAATTTAAAGGCTAGAGGTACAGCTTTATGAACAGATGTTTAAGAGCTGAAGGGATCGGTTCTTGTTGGTGAGTTGAGCCAAATAATGCGGTTCTCAGATCAGGATCGGAAGTCCCATCAACTGAGCGAGGCGACGTTCACAGAGGAACAAACGGTGTAATAGCGACATCTTATAGGTTTAGAGAGCAAATAAAATAATTCAGTAAAAAGTTGGGTTGACTTCATGAAAGTAACGAATGGTATTTCTGACAAATAGCAAATCTGGCGTACACTAATATACAAAATCTAACAAGTGAGTTTTCTTAGCTCATTAATAGGGAAATTTGCCTTAAATTCAGTCTTTCTAGTTGCTTTAGTAAGAACTTTGTCGATAGTCTTTTTTTAAGGCATACCTTGAATATGAGGTTTAGTGGTGTTGTCATGTAATATACTTAGGATTCTTACTTTTTATTTAAAATGTAATTCAAAAATGTAAAAAAAAAATTGTTGAAAACAGAAGTGAAGTAAAACAAACAATCATTTACTATCTACTTGCTGGTTATCAATAAAGAAATTAATTTGATGACATTATTACTGTAGAGTTTTATTGACACCTTTAGGATATTATTCCATTACAACCAATGGATGATGAGTTTCTTTTTCAAACATTCATAAAATAAACCACTGACACATTCAATGACCGTAAAAATAAATTGCTGACTTATAAAATACTGCATCTATAGGATAAAATACTCTTATAAAAAGATATTCAAACTCCACTAACAATGTAATTTCTAATCATCAAAACATGTGTTCAATAAAAAGGAGATGTCTTAATGTGCAAATATACAGAATTATTTTCTAACACAACATTATTCTGTACCTACTTCTCTATTTTGGCATACGTTTGGTCTTTTTGTTTCATATGTTTATCTTTGGCACAATGCACCAAAAGTAATCCTCACATCACTACTGAGTAAAAAAAAAATGGAAACACAGTGCTTGTTCTCCCAAAAAAATGTAAACATTATAACATTTGTATAAGGCAGCAGGAGAAGCATCTTGATCTCTGCAGGTCACTCCTCCTTTGACCTCTGGGCTTTGCTCAGGAGAAAAAGTGGAATCACAAATGAGGCCGACGTGATGAGAAAGCAGGTCTGTGCTCCTGCAATCCAATAAACTGAAATAAAATACAGAAAAAACTGGATAAACATAAGATGTAAATACAAAAAGAGCAAAAATATAGGCGTCTCAAAGTAATTTCAGATTTGTAGGAGATAGGAATAATTTATATGAAGCTAAATTCAAACGCTAAAAAGCCCATTATTTTTCTATTCTTTAGCTTCCTTACCAGAGGATGACACCACTGGCCCAAACGCTCTTGCCAGCGCACCCAAACTACGCAGGATCCCCATCACAGTACCTTTCTGATTAGCTGAACCTGATCAAACATCCGACAGAGGACAGTCAGCAACATTGATCTCAAAATCATAATATTTAATAAAAAAAATTAATAAAGGAGACTCACCGTGGTCAGCAACAAGGGTAGAGAGGCAGGGAACTACAATTGCTGCAGCTGCAACAATGAAAATATGACCAAAAAGGTGTAAATAAATAAATCAGTAAATTAAATGAAGACAGAGAAAATAATTTCCATTTGCTTCCAAGTGGAAATCATTTTTGAGTGATCAAACTTTAAAAGTCAGACTGAGGGAAGCTTAATTTCCAGGAATCAATTCTTGGACCTGCTCTTTTTAACTCAAAATTTATCTTTGAGTTAAATTTTAAACTGCTGATCTTTAATGACATAATCCTTAGCTTCCTGGAAATATCTGTCTTCAACAATGAAAATGATACGACCAAGTTCTATAAAAGGAAATTGTTTGCTTAATGTTTTATTTATTTTATCAAGAAACCTTTTGAAATCCTATCAAATTTACCAGTAAACAGTTAATCTGAATATAACATTGAATTTATTTACTGTAATTAAAATCAATCACACTCACAATCTCACTGCAGTGTTTTCTGGTTCAACTAATCTGGTTTTAATTTTTAACCCTTTAGTTTATGGTTACGTATCAATAATTTACACGAAAAAAAAAAACAAAAAAACACTTCAATCTTCTTCTGGTAAAAAAAAAAAAATCAACAGCGCCCTCTATGGTCAGACGTGGTAACTACAACTTTCAATGCCGCTATTCTTAATTTGTTTGAAGAACAAATTATGTTAGAAAATTTATTGTTCGATTAACTTTTCTTCTGATGTGCATAAAAGGTTTACAGGCAGCCACTAATCATCTCCTATTATTTATTTTAACAATAAAAATGAAAAGTTGCTATGATTTTAGTTGATCCTAAAATTGTATCACGGCCCTCATTACAAGCAGTAATAATTTAACAAAATTTTGTTCAATCATTACTGCTTTATTAAAAATATTAATCAGATAAAAAGCAAACATTACTCACCAAAAGAGTATAATGCCAAACCAATATAAAGCATTGCAATATTCCACGATAACCCAATGAGAATGAATGCAGGGATCAACATCATTATTGCCTGAAAGGATTAATATTTATTTCAATATTACATTTCTCTGCCTGTTCAGTATAATATTCATCATGCAGATATATTAAATCGTTACCATGTAAACAGCACGTATGTGTTGCCCAGGTTTGATTCTTCGAGCGTAACCCCCCTGGATTAAAGCCATGATGACACCAACGAAGAAGAACATCTTTCCCTGCTGCATGCTGTTTACAGAAGACAATAAAAGCATTTATGTTTCTCCTTAGAGTTTCTGCCGATTTCACCAACTCAGATTTAAGACTTTATAAAATCGTTATGAATGGAATTTAAGACCTACTTCTCAAAATAAATGTACACTTCATCCAGCCAACTTGCGATAAATTTCCATTTGTCCTTGATAAACATGGAAAGGCTAACTAGCTAGCAATGCTATGTTAGCATTGAAAATGTCTGCGTGTGGCTCAAGATTTTGCCTGACAGAAAAGCCCCGCTAAAAAATACAAAAATAAAAAAATACATAAAATATACGCGATTATACGTAAGAGGATTAAGGTCACTGAAAAGAATTATAATTATGTCGAAATCGAAATAAATTACCAAACATTCTTAAGTTAGGTGAATGTAATTACGAATTTAATGATGACATTTCACTTAATGTAATGATTTGATTGTTGATTCTATGTTGCATGACTTTGTGTTTTTGTGTTTGTTATGATGTAAAGTACTTTGAAATGCCTTGCTGCTGAAATGTGCTACACAAATAAAATTTGATTGATTGATGTAAATTATGTTGTTAGCATTTAAAAATAATTATGAAACTACGTTTTTCTTGTAGGATTTGTAAACCTGCAAGTTAGCCACACTGAAAGCCTGTCCCAAATGTATTAGGCAGATTATTTGCCTTATTTATTTAGTTTACTGATTCTGAGAAAAAAGTGAGAATGCTGAGATTAAAGTGAAATTTTTTTTTCTTCTCCTATCAACCCTAATTCTCTTCCATCCGATTCAATAGTCCAGCCAAGACAAAATTTAAGACTCCTGATTAAAACATTTAAAGTCAACTTTCTTTTTAAAAAAATAATTCAAGACATTTTAAATCCTTAATTTCAGATACATGGATTCTTAAGGATGTGCGGACACCCTACTGCTAATGCACAATTTTATCTCCGGGTTTATACCTTGTAAACTTGAAGCGCTGGTGAGTCAGAAAACTCAGGGTGAACTCTAGGCCGGAGAACAGGAAGAGGTAGCAGAAATAAACCAAACCCAACACTTGTAGCTTCTGCATTCCTGTAAGAAACACAGCCCCACTTCCTGTCAGCAGGCCAAAGTCCATTTATGGTCTAGTTAAAGGGTACAATGATGTAGGACCAGCACTCACTTTCTTTAGAAGGTGGTTCCTTTGTCCTGGTGACAGCAGTGAAATGGAACAAGGAGACGGGATTGAGAAGGTTCATGGAGTCTCCACCATGAGAAGATGAACCCTGGAATGACAATAACTTTACATTTCTGAAAAAAAAAAAACATTAAATACATTGGAAATACAGTAAAAGATGGAAATGAACCAATAATTTTAACTTTTTAAAATAAGAATATCTACTTTTTTTTTTTTTTTTTTTTTTTAAAAATCCCCTTTGTTTGTTTTGTACCCGGGGACCCATCTGCAGTTA